GATGGCAGCTGCGTATGACTTCATTTATTTTCTGGTGCTTTCACTTCCAGAGACACAGGTATAAGCACTTTATGACTGCCTCGAGGGTGTTTGACCAATTAAACACAACGTGAACACCGGGGGGGGGCGGCTTGTTTTACAACGTCGNGGGGGGGGGGGGGGGGGGGGGGGGGGGGGGGGGGGGGGGGGGGGGGGGGGGGGGGGGGGGGGGGGGGGGGGGGGGGGGGGGGGGGGGGGGGGGGGGAGGCACTTCTTTGGCAGGTTGAGAACGAGGATTCTGAGGGTCGTTATGCCGTCGCGTCTCCTGCGGTGGCGCTTGGTGTCCGTGGTCGTGGTTGCTGTGCGACCGCTCTTGTCTTCCTGATGCCCACCGGAGCGTTAGCGGTTCCAGTGTTTGCGGTGGTGGGGTTTGCCGTAAGCGTCGAGAGGATCGATGGCCCGACGCGTGGTTCCATTGCCGCGGCCGCCGTTGGTGTCTGAACTGTCCGAAGCCCAGTTGCGTCTATGATGGTTGCCGCGTGATCCACGTCCACCGCGTGACGTGGGTGTGCCACCCGGGGGTGGAGGAGTGGCGGACCGATGTGCCCTTGTTCGTCGGGTAATTGCCCTGGAAGGACTGTGGGGCCGGGTTGTGTGAGTAGTCGATTGTGGTGGACGAGCGGTTTTGGTAGTCCGCTGCCGCGGTGTCGACGAAGGCTGGCAGGGTGTTTGCGACGGAAGCGGTAGCTGGGGTGGAGATGCCATGTTAGTTGTCGGAGTCCACGTATATGGGACCAGACGTTGGAGAAGCTAGTGTCGTTCTCCATGTCGGTAGGCAAGCAGTCGATCAGTGCGCGCGCGGCGTGTATAACGCGATCCCGATCGGGGTTGCCGAAGCTACTTTGGTGTGTGTGATGTTAACCACTCCACGCCACTCGCCGTCATCGCCAACACACACCAAAGTAGCTTCGGCAACCCCGATCGGGATCGCGTTATACACGCCGCGCGCGCACTGATCGACTGCTTGCCTACCGACATGGAGATCGACACTAGCTTCTCCAACGTCTTGTCATGCGTGGACTCCAACAACCACCATGCCATTTCCACAGCAAATTCCTGCTGCGGCTCCCCTCGGTGCGTGCCTGGATCGGAGGTACCCGTTTTCCGGATGCGTACGCAGGGGTAGGCACAGGTACGGCCACTGCAGGCAATAACCACCAGCTCACAGAGGACCTTCCAAAAAGCGGTGATGTCAAGTCAACGATTCTCTAACAGCGGAACATGAAGGTGCAGGTGAAACCTTGGACGACCTCTGGGGGTACTGCCGCTCGCATGGTATTTTACTGCCTGCTCATCAATAACCGGCATGTAAACAGCCGGCTTCCATACTCGTGTCGGCGTTCGCCAGGCTACCGGTGTTCGGGTCTCACCAGGCGGTTTCTTACAAGGTTCGGAAATCCTGTTCAAAAATGTGCAATTTCCCATTCGGAAAAACATGACCACGTGTTGGTCAAGACGCTCCTTTTAAGTGCAGTCGTTTTTTTTTTTGCGCTGCTGGTGGCTATGGTACGAATGCGGCCTTTGGTGTTTATTTTCCATCTACTACCCCCGTGCCACCTCATCATCCGGTCGGCTTGGTTTTCGGGGATCTCTGTGCACTGGGTGACACAACAGCAATAGTAAAGTAATCCTACTGTAGCTGTGCGTATGGTGCCTCATGTGGGGTGGTTGCTACAGACCGTGAGGCGCTGGGTAGTTTTGAATTGAAGTCGGCGAAAGGGGCAACTGCTGTTGTTCGAAAATGACCCCCCGCTCGAACAAACAGCTTGTGACAGATTTTTTCTCCATCACAGCTTTGGTCTCGTAGCGATCCCTCTTCACTTTCCGAACCAGCAGATACCACAAGGCCATCCGTACGTGGTTCTGTGTATGGTGCTTCTTGTGATGTGGTTTTCAGAGACCGTGGCGCGCTGGGAGGCTGAGCAACGAAGTTGGCGAGGATCGACTGACTGCTGTGTTGTTCGAAAAATGACATCATCATCATCACGCCTCTCACTGCTGGACAGGGGTCTTGCGGTGCTGTAGCTATCCCTCTCCATTGACCGAACCTAAAGCAATGGCACAGCCCTCCGACAGAGAGCAGTTGATGGAGCTCGCATGCTCGCAAGTTTCAGCAGCAGGGGTGATCTAGCGAACGAGAAAATGAACATATCGCCCATCGATGTGTGTGTGTCTTGGGATGATGCCTCGTCTCTTTGAATCTCTGAGCAAGCGGTGTGTGTGTCAGCTGGCCAGCATGTTGCTTGAACGCAACTGGCCACACGGCAACCACCTTCATACGGCTTGGATGGCAGCACAGTGCTCCGAGGGTTGCTCGGAGCCCTTGATGACCTTGCTACGACCAGTACTTGCTGCGCAATCGATGGTTTTGTCCGTGTGGTGTGCATTTCCAAACGCTAAAATCGAACGCGCCATCTCATCGAAAATTGTCATCATTTCCAAACGCATGACCAGTTCGAAAACGTGAAATCGAAAATGTGCAGCCGGAAAAGTGTCATCTCTGACCTCACAAGAATCAGTTTTCGGTCCGAATTTGGAAATGCGCATTTTTGGACTGCATCTCCGAACCTTGTAAGAAACCGCCTTAATCTCCATTGCGGTCCCTTTTTTTCTTTGTCGCAGGTGGATCTTTCCGAGAAAAAGGCCTTCTTGAAGGAGACGGTGACGGCAATAATGTCAGAGGGTGACGAGGAGGAGGAGGAGGAGCAGAGGAAGAGGAGGAAGAGGAGGAGGAGGAGGAGGAGGAGGAAGAAGAGGAGCCAGCGAGCAAGGCTAAGGCCAAGCGCAAGTCCGCCGGCTTCCAGCTCTCCCCTGCCCTGTACGAGTTCATGGGCAGCAAGGACACGTGCATGGCCCGCGGTGACGTGAGCGACGAGCGCTACTTGCGCACCTTAGCCTGACTGACCCACACAAGGACCGAAAACAAACTCCAACCCCTACCCTAAGTACGTCGGCGAACCTTGAGCGTTTTAACTTGGTACGATCATGTCTGCAAGTTTGACGAGTAGATTATGACCACATCGCTTTGTAGCTCCCGCCGTGAAAAATCGAGCTGCAGTCAGGAAACTCCGTTCTTTTGGTGCGTCGTGATGCTCTTTGTTGATGTCTTAACAGGGGAGGATGTTTGTTTATTCCCTCTTTGTCCCCAGGCCTCCGGCCGCTGCCGCGGTACTTTTGTCTGCGTGCAACTTCCGCCCACGTTTTATTTTGTGGAGTGTTTGAGCGAGCGAGGGCACTGATTAGGCGTGTTATTTGAAACCGTAAGAACGCAAGAACCTGAAATCGACACCCCGAATTATGCGAACCCAAATATTCTTATAATATTGTTCGTAGGTAACAAAGGCCATGTGGGCGTTCTGTACACCAGGCCGAAAAACACTTGCGTGAAGAAAAGACAAGTAGCGAATCGAATCAAGTCTCCCTTCGGTTTGCGTGGCCAAGACTCCCTTCATTCTACCAAGCAACAACAGTAGCACCATCAAAAAGGAAACGCCGATTGATTTGTGGCAATTGCAACCCGGAGTGTTGTCTACTTTGCAGAAAGAGAGAGGTTTTGGCGATTATACCACGGATTCTTACGGTGCTTTCTCTCTTCGTGGGAACAAATGAATATGTAGGTGACCAAGGCGGTGTGGGCGTACATTCGTGCGGAGTCCCTCCAGGACCCCAAGGACGGTCGAAAGATCCGAAACGACGAAAAGATGTTCCGCGTGTTCAAGTGCAAGACCATGAACATGATGCACATCGCCAAGAAGCTGTCGCCGCACCTCAAGAAGGTCTCGGACCTCGTGGAGAGCGGCGCCCCCAACGAGGAGGTCGACACCGAAGCGAGCAGCAGCGGCGATGAAGAAGCTCGACGTATGTAGGAGAGACACAGAGAGAGAGCACGGGCGATGCGTGTGTATGTGTGTGTTATTTTTAGCGTCGACCGCGCTAGCCGACTGGCCATTGAAAATACGTTTGTCTCAGTGCGGTTGAAAACGTGTGCGTGTCTGTGTTTTTTTTGTTATTCGCGTCGACCGTGCTAGCCGGCTGGCCAATGGGAAGACGCCAGTCTTACATCGCGAAAAAACACACACGCGACAATGTGTGTGCGTGCATGAGAACAAACGCTACAAAAGTAGTGTGACTTCCGTCGACGTTTTCGCGCTGGCTGCTGCTGCCGTTGCGTGGATTTTTTTTTTTTGCATAATGAAACCTCAAGGGAGCAACCGGGGAAATGGTCGGTAGGTCCCACGTTGACGGACTTGCTCTCTCGGTTTTTCGGACGTTTCACGGCCTATTCTCGTCTAGATAAACTTGTTCTGTTTTTGGCGTGTAGGCACTGCTGTGTTTTTGTGACATGTTTCGTCTGCTTCGCACTCGCACAGGAGTCAGCGACTGCTGTTTGTTGTTGATGTTGGAGTTACAACTTTGTTTGGTTCTTTTGGTGTGCTTCCTGACGGAGGCACCCTGGATGGAAAATTCCACGGCAACGGAAGGGCGCTAGAGTCTTGCCAAAGCGACGGGGTGCCATCTCCAAGCTTCCGTTCGTCACTTCTCCCACCCTCCCCTACGGTCCTGTGGGAACAATGGTTCGTTCTCTCGAGGACGCGTGGTCAATGGGCTGAGGCATGCAAATCATAAGAGTACGCCCCCCCCCCTCGTCCCTCCGCCTGGTTGTATGCATATGATTCCATACTGCTCGCCGTTGGAATTATCAGGAACGGCCGGATCGAAGAAGAGGGGCGCATCAGGGGCGAAGTCGAAACCCACGGCTAACGTACGAAAGGTGAAGGTGATGCCTAAATAGTACCACCATCTTGCATCGAATGACGCAGATAACGACACAACAAAGGAGTGACGCTTCTTCTCGGCGGTAGCGTTAATGCGCTGCAAAGTTGTTTTATTGTCATGTCGATTGGCCTTGACCGCCTTTGCCCAGCCTCTCCTGTCGTGAGCGTCACACATCGTCCTGGGATGGCGGGTTGTCTTCAGCGTTCCCCTACCACTTGCGTGATGTGTGTGTGTGTTTCCGTCCTATTATTATGGCGACGGTCCCTCCATTTTTCGTGGTGAGACGTGTACTACACTTTTCAGCGTATGTAGACTCCTACACTTTTCAGTGTATTTTTCCGTACAACTGCAACCATCCAGGGTCACACAGGAGGAGGTAAACACCAGGGCTTTTTTCTCCTTTTATTCTTTCATGCCCCACCTTCCTCCTGCGGTGCGTGCTGAATTTATTTTGATCGCGAGAAGGGTACAGCCGTCCCTTTCCCTCGTCAACGATGCTGACGTCGAAGTTTGGTGNCCTCCATTTTTCGTGGTGAGACGTGTACTACACTTTTCAGCGTATGTAGACTCCTACACTTTTCAGTGTATTTTTCCGTACAACTGCAACCATCCAGGGTCACACAGGAGGAGGTAAACACCAGGGCTTTTTTCTCCTTTTATTCTTTCATGCCCCACCTTCCTCCTGCGGTGCGTGCTGAATTTATTTTGATCGCGAGAAGGGTACAGCCGTCCCTTTCCCTCGTCAACGATGCTGACGTCGAAGTTTGGTGCTCACGAGAGCTTGTCAGCTATATTTCGCCTTCACCCGCACATTTCGTAAATTTTTCACCCCATGGTGATTCGAACTCACGACCTCTGCGACTAGCGGATTACGAGAATACCACTAGACCACCCCGTGTGGGTGCCTACAGACTGGATGAAGCGCGGACCGGAAGCTCGTTTTGCAGAGACTAAGTGCTCCATATACAAATGAACAGGACTTGGAGGCCGTCTTGTCCTTCCAATAGTTGGGATGGGTCACAGCAAAAGTGGTGCATTATGGCAGCAGTGAGCACACGGATGGAATATTTCACGTTGTTACCGTATCCTGCTGGACGTCTTTCATGCCCCCTCTCTCCCAAACCACACTCACGGAGCCACCTCCGTTGAATCATGGCGCCCTCCGTTCCGTGGTATTGCCGGGTTACGCCGGTACGGAACAACGGAACACAGACTCACGGCAGTGTCTGCTAATGCCCCCCCC